CACAAGCGCGTGGCCCTGCACCAGGGCCGCCCCCGGGAGGTGCGTGGCGGCCCCACCCCCTCGGCCCTGCCGCTCCCCCTCCCCCACCGGCCCGGGCCCTGACTCAGCCCTTCCCGCCCAGATCATCAACACATACACGGAGGCTGTGCAGACGGTGGACCCGTTCAAGGCAACAGGCAAGCCCCACACGCTGTGGGTCGCGTTTGCCAAGTTTTACGAGGACAACGGGCAGCTGGACGATGTGAGTGCTGTGCCGTGTGTGCGCGCGCAGATGCCTTGGCCAGAGGACACAGGAGGCACAGTCACGTCTGCCTGAGCGGTGTACACGTGCAGCCTCGCGGGGGCGGGGGAGGGCAGGCCGGGCCTCAGCCGGCCCTCTTTGCGCCCTGGCAGGCCCGCATCATCCTGGAGAAGGCCACCAAGGTGAGCTTCAGGCAGGTGGACGACCTGGCCAGCGTGTGGTGTGAGTGTGGCGAGCTGGAGCTCCGGCACGAGAACTATGACCAGGCCTTGCGGTTGTTGCGGGTAAGTGCACGCCGGGGCTTGGGGGCGGGGCGGGGCGGGCGTGTGGCCAGGCCCCAGACGTCCCTGAGCTCCGCCCTCCGCTGCGGGCTCCCTGCAGAAGGCCACCGCGCTGCCCGCCCGTCGAGCCGAGTACTTTGACGGCTCGGAGCCCGTGCAGAACCGTGTGTACAAGTCGCTGAAGGTGTGGTCGATGCTCGCTGACCTAGAGGAAAGCCTGGGCACCTTCCAGGTGAGCTGCGTGGCCAAGGGCCTGTGGCAGGGGGTGGGCTGGGGCTGCAGACTCTGCCCCGGGACATGCTCCGACCCGCCCCTGCCCCGCAGTCCACCAAGGCCGTGTATGACCGCATCCTGGACCTGCGCATCGCCACGCCCCAGATCGTCATCAACTACGCCATGTTCCTGGAGGAGCACAAGTACTTCGAGGAGAGCTTCAAGGTGAGGGGGGTGACCTGGGGGCCCCAGACAGCAGTGTGTCCTCTTCAGTGCCTCGGGCACTGTGTTAGCGTGCTCTGCCGCCCTAACGAAGTGCCACAGACCAGGGGACTTAACAGAGACGTGTCGTCTTAGTCCCGGAGGCTGGAAACCTCAGATTGTGGTGTTGGCGGGGCTGGTTTCTCCTGAGCCTCTCTCCTCGGCGTGCAGGTGGCCGTCTTCTTCCCGTGGCCTCCCGTGGTCATCCCCGTGTGTGTGTCTGTGTCTTAATCTCATTAAAGACTCCAGTCGTTGGATTAGGGCCCACTATAGCAATCTCATCTTCATTTCCTTTTTAAAGGCCTCATCTCTAAGTACAGTTCCATTCTGAGGTCCTGGGGTTATGGCCTTTTTTTTTTTTTTTTTAAGATTTTATTTATTTATTTGACAGAGAGAGAGATAGTGAGAGCAGGAACACAAGCAGGGGGAGTGGGAGAGGGAGAAGCAGGCTTCCTGCCGAGCAAGGAGCCCGATGTGGGACTCGATCCCAGGACCCTGGGATCATGACCTGAGCCGAAGGCAGACGCTTAACGACTGAGCCACTCAGGCGCCCTGGGGTTATGGCTTTGACAGGAATTTGGGGGACACCGTTCACCCTGCTTCTGTGGGGGGGGGTTGGTGTGGGTGTGTGTGGGCTGTCCCCGCCCTGTCACTCAGGCCCTGGGTTGTAGGTCTCCGCGTGTACACGTTGTGAGGCCCCACCAGGCTGCCTGACGTGTTGGGTTATGTGTGGAGACTATCCGGACACAGCTGGGGAGGTTGTACACGACATGACACACAGGCCACCCCCGGCCTGAGTGACGCAGGCCTTGCCCCTTGGCCCTGGCATGTGAACCTCCTCGCAGGGCTTTGGGCTCCAGTGTCTGCAGAGCTGAGAGGTCCCCCCCGCCCCTGCCTCTAAGTCCCCTGCCCATAACGTTACCTCCTGGTGACTTGGTCAGTCCAAATCCTGCCCTGTCATTGGGGGCTTTGCAGTCTGTTAGGGAGGCATACAGACCCTTTTGACTGCGTCGTGATTGGAGGGAGGGGTGGCGAGGGAAAGGCCACCTTGCTCAGCCCGAGGGAGACAGGGACAGCCTCCCGGCAGCCTGGGCGCCACGCGCGCTCGCCCTGCCTTCCCATGCATGACTCCCTCTCTCGGGGCAGGCGTACGAGCGCGGCATCTCGCTGTTCAAGTGGCCCAACGTGTCCGACATCTGGAGCACCTACCTGACCAAGTTCATCGCCCGCTACGGGGGCCGCAAGCTGGAGCGAGCGCGGGACCTCTTTGAACAGGCGCTGGACGGCTGTCCTCCCAAATACGCCAAGAGTGAGGCGGGCGGGGCGGGGCGAGGCGGGCGAGGGGCGGGGCAGCCCGGGCCAGGCCGCAGCCCCTGACCCGCCGGCCTCCCGTCCAGCGCTGTACCTGCTGTACGCGCAGCTGGAGGAGGAGTGGGGCCTGGCCCGGCACGCCATGGCTGTGTACGAGCGCGCCACCAGGGCCGTGGAGCCCGCGCAGCAGTACGACATGTTCAACATCTACATCAAGCGCGCAGCCGAGATCTACGGCGTCACCCACACCCGCGGCATCTACCAGAAGGCCATTGAGGTGCCCCGTGGGGGCGGGGGGCCGTTCTGGAGGCCGGCCCAGGGTCTGCGCACCCCGCTGACGCCCACCCCCTTCCACCCGGCAGGTGCTGTCGGATGAGCACGCCCGGGAGATGTGCCTGCGGTTCGCGGACATGGAGTGCAGGCTTGGCGAGATCGACCGGGCACGCGCCATCTACAGCTTCTGCTCCCAGATCTGTGACCCCCGGGTAGGGGGAGAGCCTGGTGGGCGGGCAGGGGGGTGGGCTGCAGCCAAGCCAGCCGGCTCACGCGCATGCCGCCCACCCTCCACAGACCACTGGGGCTTTCTGGCAAACGTGGAAGGACTTCGAGGTCCGGCACGGCAACGAGGACACCATCCGGGAGATGCTGCGGATCCGCCGCAGCGTGCAGGCCACATACAACACTCAGGTCAACTTCATGGCCTCGCAGATGCTCAAGGTGTCGGGCAGCGCCACGGGCACCGGTGAGCAGCTGCGGGCTACCCCTCACCCTGGCCACGTCCTCTTGGCCTGGCCTCTGCCCTCTGCCTAGCCTTGACCTCCTGTCTGGGAGCACTGGGGGTCCACCTCCACCTCCCCCACTGGAAATTGGGAACTCCTTGAGGGCTGGGTGCTCACACGGCTTGGGGCACCCAGAGCAAGGTGGGTGTGGGCTGTGGTGGGGGCTGGTATGGCTGTGGGGAGGGCAGGACCCGCTTATGCTGTCTGACCCCGTGCCCCCCCCCCCCCCCAGTGTCTGACCTGGCCCCTGGGCAGAGCGGCATGGATGACATGAAGCTGCTGGAGCAGCGGGCAGAGCAGCTAGCTGCTGAGGCCGAGCGGGACCAGCCCCCACGGGCCCAGAGCAAGATCCTGTTTGTGAGGTAGGGGTGGGGGCCGGTGAGAGTGAGGCAGCTCCTGTTTAATAAGAGGGGAGGTGCCAGGGAGGCCGGGCGGTGTGGCCCCCTCCCTGACCCCTGCCTGCCTGCAGGAGCGACGCCTCCCGGGAAGAGCTGGCCGAGCTGGCCCAGCAAGCCAACCCGGAGGAGATTGAGCTGGGCGAGGACGAGGACGAGGACGAGATGGACCTGGAGCCCAATGGTAAGGGGCCGGCCAGACAGGCTGGGCGGTTTGGGGGGAGGCAGAGGCAGGGCCCCCTCCTGGAGTGACCACGTCCTCCCTGCCTCCCCCCCTTCTCCAGAGGTGCGGCTGGAGCAGCAGAGTGTGCCAGCCGCCGTGTTCGGGAGCCTGAAGGAGGACTGACTGCACCCCTGCCCCCATCTGTACTCCCCTAATATAGCCTATGTGTGTATGTCACAGTCTGAGCCTCCTTCCTGCCCGCCCTTCTTGCTGCCCAGGTGCCCATATGGACTGCCTGCTCAGTGGTGCTCTGGCCCTGGGCCCAGCCCCCCCCTTCCCCACCCCCCACCCCCACCAGATTGGCTGGTGCAGGAGGTGGGGCAGCTGGGCTCCAGGCCAGGGCACACGCCCCACCCTCACCCTGCAGAGCCAGTTCAGGACTCAGAGGCCAGTCTCTGCCGCCTGAGGCCTCCTTGAGGGCCTTGCCCTGGACTGCCCAGGTCTTGCCAGCCGGTACCCACATTAGCAGGTGGAGGTACTCAGCCTTCCCTCTCCAAACTGTTTTTTCCTGAGCCAGGGCGCTGACCTCCTCTCAGGAGAAGGCAGGTCGGCAGGCTTCGCAAGGTACTTCTCGCCCTGGACAGCAGCCAGTAGTCCTCAGCCTTGGGCCAGGGCCGGGGCGTGGTCCTTAGGCCTAAGCTCTGGGAAGCCATTAGTGGGCTCTAAACTATTAAGGGATTTTAAGCATTGAGGGATATAATCAGATTTGTGCCCTGAACAGGCCATGTGGGCTGTGAGGGATTGGGCCGTGGGGGCGGGGGGGAGGGCGGGGGGGAGGGGGAGTCAGGTCGTTGGCCGGGAGCTGGGGATGGAGAGAAGCGAGTGAGACAGAAGAGGCCATTAGGCATCAGGCGGGGGGAGCGGGGAAGCTGGTCCCTTGCCGGAGCCACAGGGAGACTAGGAGCTCAGGCCGGCTCGAGCTCCCGCTGTGGGGCCTACATCGGAGACGTCCGTGGCAATGCCAAGGACAGACCCAGACTCTTGGGTGAGGGGCTCGTAGGAGAGCGACATGGGAATCCTTTCTAGCGGTGGGAACCGAGCCTAGAAACAGAGGCAGCCAGAGAGATCAAGCTTAGCAGCTGGCCGCAGACCAAACGACAGGAGAGGCCAATAACATCTACGTGGAGGAGAAAAGTGGAGCGAGCGGCCACGGAGAGAGATCAGGGGAGAGGTGGCCCAGGAGCGGCCATGAGGGGCCATGGCAGGAACCACATCAGAGCTATCGAGGAGAAAGGAAACCTCTCAGAGATGTCACTAGGTTAGGGTTAGGAGATGCCAACAACACTCAAGCTCTTTCTAAATTATTTTATTCAAGAAGGTGGGGAGGACAGACAGGGGACTGAGCTGAGCCCTGAGTCCCTGAACCTCCCAGCTCAGCCCCCACAGCAGGACAGGACAGAAGTTAGGGGGTAGGGACTCCAGCCCTACCCGAACAAGGTTGGGGACAGACGAGACCCAGGAATACCAACGGATTGTCCTCCAGGCTGTCCTCCGGGAGGCCGACGGCTGGGGCCTGTCTGGTGGACCACCGGGACAAGGCTACTTGGGGGTGCTGCTGCCCTTCTTGGGAGTCGTGGGCTTCTTGCTCTGCCAGAGGTGGCCCTGGATGGTGAAGGCGTCTACACTCATGGACATGGTCTTGGCAGGGATCTGGGTAAAGCGCTTGCGGTCCGAGTTGTACTTGTAGATGCCCTCGACCATGGCGGGCGTGACCGTGCGGGGGCCGTAGCCCGCCAGGCGGGTCAGCTCCTCTGTCTCCCCGGACAGCGTATAGAGGGCCCGGAACTGGCAGCTCGAGTCGCGGAAGAGGATCAGGAAGTGGTTGGCCTTGCTCTTCTCAATTTCCTGGTGGGGTGGTGCAACCGGTTCGCCAGTGGGCAGGGCCCCCAACCCTCCCCCGCCCCCCCGCTGGCCCCCCAGCCCCCGGCGCAGGCTCACCTCGAGAATGCGGTTCTTCTGCGGTTCGTTCACCTTGCCCGCCAAGCAGCAGTGAGACAGGGCGTTGTGGATGATGAACTTGTTGGACTTGGCGCTGGGCTCCTTGTACAGCCGCGGACCTGGGGGGCGGGGCAGTCAGCGGGGCTGGGGGTTGGGGGGGGGCGACAGGCAGGGCCTGGGGCTCGCCAGCTCCGGCCCCACTTACCTGTGTACTCGGGCACTGACGCTGGGGAGGAGGCGTTGCTGCCATTCTCCCAGTCGCGCTCACGGCTGCCAGGCAGGCGGCTGGGGGACATGAGGCCGGATGGGGACGGAGCCCTGGAGGGGGGGGGGGGACAGGAGGGGATGGGGATGCAGTCAGTGGTCAGGGAAGCCTCCCCAGAGGCAGAGGGACCAGGGAAGATACGGACCTAGGACCCTGTGGGGCGGGGGAGGGGGGGGTGTGCGTGTGTGTGGGTCTGTGCGCGCGCCAGCCACAGATGCCTGCGTCCCCGCTCGGGTGCACCCCCACTCGGGTACACGGCCGTGTTCTTGAGGCCCGTCAACAGCCCCCCTTGTGCACATGCACAGGACTGCGTCCTTTCATCCCTTCAGCAAGACACACACGGACCCTGAGAGGCCTGCCTGGCCCACACTCACCGAGACGTGGGCCTCTTCACGCCAAGGTTATTGGGGGCCTCATTGGCCACGGTGGACAGTGACAGGGTGGACTGAGAGTAGACTTTGCTGAGCCGGGAGCCTGGGAGAAGAGCGCATGGGGTCATTCCTACCCACAGTCCTGCCTCCACAGGGCCTGGGGGGTGGGGGGGCGCTTACGTGGTAGGCTGTGGAGGGAACAAGGGGTCAGCCCCGCCTCCTGAGACCCTCACCCTGTGCACTCCAATTGAGACAGACCTCTGCCCACCCATGGAGGAGGGGGCTGTGCCCAGCAGGCGGGAGGAAACGCCCCCCCCCAAAGCTCTTGCTCCTAAACATCCCTGAGAGAGCCTTGTGTCCCTTAAGCTCTAGAGAGAACTCTAGGCCAGCTCTGCCCAGCATGCCTTGCCCCACTGTACCCCCACATCCCTCTGGAAGTCGAACAGGCATGGGCAACTCCCCAAGACCCCTTTCACCCCACGTACTCATGGGGGTCTCGGCAAGCCCTGGACACGAGCATTGGGCAGGCACCAGCCCTGACGCCCCAGCCCTACAGAGTCCTTACCCAGCAGGCCACGGGCAGGGCTTCGTGCCAGGGCCGAGTCATCACAGCAACCAGAGCGTGGCCGGGGGGCCCTCCGCCCGCCCCGGCCTGGCCCCCCGGTCCCCGCAGCCCGTGGCCGCAGCACTTTGTCAAGGTCATCCATCAGCTTCAGCTGGGCCCTGCGTTCATACTCGAGCCGAGTGAAGTCCCCCCGCCTGGGGCCCACTTCTTCCTCAGCTGAGGCCCTCCCGGCAGGGGCTGGGGCTGCTGTGGGGGCCACAGGAGCTGGGGGGGCCGGGGCGCCCGCAGTCACCTCCTCCTGGGCCAGCCTGCAGATCAAGAGTTACCGAGCAGTCAGACCACTCACAGGTTCACTGGCGGCAGGGGTCCCGGGCAGCCCCCAGCCTCACCGTGCGGCCTCTTCCCTCCGCTGCTCCTTCTCGGCCTCCTGCCACTGTTTCCGCCGCCGCGCCTCCTCTGCCCGCCGCTGCTGCCGTTCCAGCAGGCTGGCCCGCTTTTGGGCCATCTCGTCCTCGGGCTTGTCTTCATCCTGGAGGCAGGCACCGAGTCCAGCTGGCCGTCCCTCCCCTAGTACTTCTGTCCACCCTGCCTGCTAACCACTCACCCCTCCTTTCCCTTGTGTAACTGGTCTGAAGGCACTTAGCGGGCTCCTGCTTTGTGCACAGCCCTGAGCTGGGTACCGGGGCAAAAAGGGGACCAAGCCAGACTGGGTGCTGTTCACACCACGCGCTTAACCCAGTGGGGAAGGCGACCTGATAGATCAGCAGCAGCTACCAGTCTACAGTGTAGGGAGGGACCTATCCTAGCCTGAGGGCACTAAGCAAGGCTTCCTGGAGGTGACCTTCCTGGAGAAGGACAGGGACTTGACTGGGGAGGGGTGGGAGGTGAAGAGGGTATTCCAGGCAGAGGGAACAGCAAGTGCAAAAGCGCCGAGGCTAGAACAAGCCTAGCAGGCATGGAAAGGGGGAGGGGGGGGTGCTGGGAGGTGGAGCGAGGGAGACGGGCATAGGACAGGTCAGAGGTGAGCAGGGCCCAAAGCCGTGGGAAGCACTTTTTTTTTTTTTCTAAGACCAACGGGACCTGCAGAAGGGTTTAAGTAGGGGACTGACAGGGTCCAGTTTACATTAAAAAAAAAAAAAAAAATGAATTGGCCATTGAAAATGGCCAAGGACGGAGGAGTTGGGGGGATGGATGGTAGAGGCCAGTCAGCACGTGACCGCAGGCGTCCAGGTGAGACCACTGGCCCAGGCTGGGGGAGCTATGAGGACAGAGAACAGGGACATGGAAGAGTAGGAAGGGGGACTGGCAGGGCCATGGTGGGGAGAGTGGGAAGGAGAGAAGAGGAGGGAGGAGGTGCCATGGAAGACCCCAGCCCTGTCTGTCCACTTACTCCTGTCCATCTGTCTGTCACCACCCATCCATCCGTCATCCACCCGTTCCTCTACCCACCCACCCATCTGGCCACACCCTGCCTGTCTGCCCACTCCCACCTGGCTATCCACCTCCCGGTTTATCCACCAGTGATCCCACTCCCTGAGCACGCGGCCACCCACCCGATCCCTTCCCCCACTGGCTTAGGTGACTCTCACCTTATAGAAGAAGCCCAGCCCAGCCCGGGGCTCTCCCTCTGAAGACGCCTCTTCCTCTAAGGAATCCTCGGCACCAGGGGGGCTCCCATCTCCCTCGTCCTCGGCTGTGGGCTCTTCCAGGCTGCCCAGTGGGATCTCGATGAGGCCAGGCCGGGCCACAGGCTCCTCGGGTGGTGACCCCTCCGCCAGGAGGATAGAGGAGCGTGTCTGCACAGGCACCTGGCTTGGCGAGAACTTGCGCAGGTGGGGGAGGCTGTCTACATCGTGGGGAGGCGTGAGCACTCTTGTCAGGGGCGCTAGCCGCAGCTCTGCTGGCCGTGCATGTTTCGGGCTTCGGGGTGTTGGGCTGGGGCCGGGCCCGGGGCTGCGCCGGGCAGCTGGGGCACGCCGAGCAGGGCTGGGAGACGCGGCTTTGGGACCCACTGTGGGACCAGGGATGACCCATGCAGCAGGTGGCGGGGCAGGCCCCGGGGCCTCGGGTGGGGCCAGGAGAAGCTGCTGCTGGTCCGTGAGCCTCTGCATGTCCCGCTGCAGTGAGCTCAGCGCAGCACTTAGCTTGCTGACCGCCCGGTTATAGTCCCCCAGCCCCTCGGGGGGCACCGGGCCCAGTTCGGGTGAGAAGGTCACTGCCTTGGGCCGTGGGGCCGGATCGCCCTGGCCCTCGCCCGCTGGCCGCTCCCCACCAGGGACCGGGCCGGCCTCCGCCTCCGCCTCCGCCTCCCCTCCAGCCTCCCGTGGCTGCACCTGCAGGAAAGCGCTCTTGCCCAGTCGCTGGCGGTGTTTAGCAAAGATGGCCTCGATGCGCCGCTTCTGAGCCTCGATGGCCCGCCGTTTCTCCTCCAGCCGGGCCCCCAGCTCACTCATCTCCGAGCTCAGGGCCTCTGCTGCGGCAGGGGTGGCCGCCGGGGACCCTGCCTCGGCCTCGGCCTTGACCAGCTGCTTCTTGCGCTCAGCAAAGCTGGTCATCTTCACCTCAGAGTTGCCGGCCGCGGGGGACGAAGCTGCTGCCTTCGGGGAGCCCTCAGACAGGGCCGGCGATTTCGAAAGCTCCCCTGCCGGGCAGGGAGACGATTTCAGGGGGCCCTCAGGGTGGGGCACGTAGCTGGGTGCTTGGGTGGGCGCAGCGGGCAGTGGCTTTGAGACCCCGTCGAGTGGGTAGGAGGAGGCCAGTGGCAGTTTGGAGGAGCCCTCAGGGGAGTGGAGGTAGAAGCTGCCGTCGGCGGCCCCATCTGGGAGCAGCCGGGGCTCAGCGCTGTGGATGATCTGCAGGGCCTCCTCGATGGTAGGCAGGTCTCCGGGCTCCGGGGGCGGCTGGACGGGGGTCCGGGCTGGCACAGGGCGCGGGGGGCCCAAGCTGTCCGAGCTGACCGAGCGGAGTAGGACGGGGTCTCCCATGACAACATCCACGTCGCTGTCCAGGCCAAAGGGGGTGCTGAACGACACTGCCTGGGAAAGGGGACGGCTGGGCGGCAGGAGGGGGGGGGGGGTCAGCCCCTGGGACAAGCCCCAGCCCCACCCCTGCCCAGTCTGCTCCACTGGCCCTTGAGATGCACTCACCTGAGCTGACGGTTCCAGGCCTTGCCGAGGGCCTCCATGTGGGACATGGACGGGGAGGACTTCAGTGAGCCTGGGGAGAGGTGGGAAGTGGTCACTCAGTGGTCACTATGGAGTCGCTGGGCCCTGGGTGGGGTGTGCCAGGGGGTGTCACTGATGGGGCATTATGTGGACAGATAGCTGGGGGCCGCTGGTGGGAGGGGTCAGTGAGGGTCACCACGGGGTCATTCAGGTGGGACCCAGTGGAGGGATCAGGAGGAGACATGAAGTCTGCTAAGGCAGTGTTTGGGTAGGGGTCTCCAGTGACCAGCTGTACCCCTGCCCTCACCTGTGGATCCACGGAGTGGGGACTGGGGGCCGCCGGATGACAGAAGCGGGTGGCGGAAGTTGAAGACAGGAGAACTGCCAAGAGAAGCACGTCAGCCAAGGGACCGCCCGGCCTTGCTCACCTCTCCCAGGAGTGGAGCAGAGAGCATCCCCTAGCCCTGGCGCAGCGCCCAGCAAGGGGAAGAGCCCACCATGGCCATGGAGACTCACCCAACAGGGAAACTGTACCTGCAGCCACTGCTGTTCTGAGCGGGAGAGGCCTCCGTGGCCCGGGGGGAGGCCGCTGCAGCAGGGATAGCAGGGTCAGGCAGGGCTTGGCCTCCCTACCCCGCCCCACACCCAGGGCCAGGCCTCACCGTGACCGTCAGGCAGGTCCTTGGCCTGCACAAAATCAGGTTTCAGCACCTCAAAGCACATGAACATCTCGGCTAGCAGCACCACCAGGTTGATCTGGAGGCAGAAGGCAGGGTCAGCCAATGGGACGCACGGCCCCGGACGCCTGCCTCGGCCCCCAAGGCCTCGAGGTGACCTTACCTTGAGGGGCGGTGGGACGTAAAGCAGGTCCTCGAGGGAGAGCGGGCAGCCGCGAGGAAGGCGGGAGGCACAGAAATCCTGCACCAGCTGGAGGTTGTACAGGCTGTCCGCCACGGACATGGGGTCCTTGAGACACACCTCTGTAGGGACAGGATACCTGGGTCCCCAGCTCTGTGGGGAGGAGGACGGGGCCCTGGGGAAGCGAGGGCCCTATGGGCCGGGCCTCATGCTAGGTGCCTTTCCCAAAGTGGGTACTAGGATAGGCTGTTCCTCGGGCCTCTGCATCTGCTCCCAACGGCCTGGAGAACTAGTTCCGCGAGAACTCAACTCAAAAAGCTCTTCCTGACCACCTGGCCCCGCGTGGAGCCCCTAACACCCAGAATGTTCTCCTGGCTGAACTCCTTGTCCTTCTCTCCCAACTAGGATGTGAGCTGCCTGAGGTCAGGAGCACATCTGTATTGTTCTCACTGGATCTCTGGCACCTACAAGAGAATCTGGCATTCCATAAATATTTGCTGCAGGAATGAATTCTATGAAGCGCAGAGAAGTTTAGACACTTGTGTGAGGTCACACAGCTAACTGGGGGAAAAAATGTGCAAGCCCCGGTCCACCAGTTCTGGAAGTTGCACTCATAATTACTGCCCCACTCGGGGGCAGATGCCTGGGTGCCAAGCTCCCAAGGACAAGTGTGGCCCAGGCCCGCGCACTCACCCTCGAGTCGCAAGAGCTGGGGACAATAGCAGTGAATTGTGGCAGCTAGTGCGGCCCCACTTGCCAGATCCTGGAGGGTGGTCACGTTTGGAAAGCAGGGGGCGCGTCGGGCCACAGCTCGGTCCTTGCGGTATCGGATCTGCGGGTGGGAGCCAAGTTAGGTCAGAGGCTCAGGCTGGCCCCAAGTCAGTGGTCATGCAGGCTGGGTGGGGAGGCCTGGGGTTTCCGCCATGAGGGGGCGTGAAGCTGGGGGTCCCAGAGCCAGAGTGGGGCCAGCCTGGAGCGGGGGGAAGGGTAGCAGCGAGCAGCCAGGCCAGCAGCGAGGGCTGGGGCAGGACTCCTGGGACCCCGGGGCGGGGGATACATTACCATGGGGGGTTTGCTCCCCGACTCCTTCAAACAGAAGGCAATTGCGTGCTGGGGGGGGAGAGGAGCAGCCGTCAGCGGGGCGGGAGGGGTGCTGACTTGCTGGGCCCCCAAGCACACCTCCAGGGGAGGGGGAGATAGCCCCGACCCTGTCATGAGCCCTGGCCATCCAGCTCCGACTGCGCTCTGGCCGGCTTTGGGGACCCCAGCTCCTCCCAGCCTGGAGGGACCCCACAGAGCAGCCTCCCATGCAGGGAATCTCCCCCCGGCTCCCCCCACAAAAGACCCAGGCCCCAGCTTGGGGAGGGGATGCAGAGGAAGCAGGGAGGCAGAAGGAGAGGAACCCCCAACCCAGGCCCGAGAGTGGAAGGAAGGGGGCCCCAGAGTGAGCAAAGGCAGGGATCCCACCCAGCCCAAAGCCTTCCACTTGCAGGGGTCACTTGCCCCTTGTTGTACTTCAGGGATGGAGGCCCCCCCCATCACCACCAACAAAGCTGGGACTTGTCCTTAGGGAAACCGGGGTCTTGGGAAGGTTCTTCCCCCTTCTTCTGGGTTTGGGGGGTCTTCCTCTTGACTAAAGGGGTCTTCTCCATGTGCCCTGCCACTGGGGTCAGGATCCATATGTCTGAAGGGCAAGAGTCCTCCCTTCAGAAGTGCCGGAAGTCTCCCAGCTCAGCTAAGATGGACAAGCCGAGGAGCTCTGCCCTCTTAATTGCTGGGAAGGGAGGTTCATCCCCCTGAACGGTAACTGGGGAGAGGTCTGCCCGGTCAGTTAACAGCAGAGAGTCCTCTCCTCTCTGAGGCTACAGAAGGCTTTTCTCTGTCCCCCAGGGCTGGGGTCCCACGTCTTTTGCTCACAGCTGGGAAGAAGTAGGAGAGGGAGCAGACAGGCAGGCAGAACAGACACATGGAGAGACAAAGCGACAAGCAAGGCAGGCAGACGGGGCGGAGAAACAGCCCCACTTACAGGAACCAGCTTCCAATACCAGCGTGTGGGGCACTGATGCCAGAGAGGCAGAGGGGAGAGCAGGAGAGGCACAGGGGAGAGGGAAGAGAGAGAGAGAGTCACCTCCAGCGCCACCCCCCCCCGCCGAGTGCAGGACCGGCCTCGAGGTTCAGCCCTTCCCTGCCCACCCAGCCATCCAACTGTCCTTGCGTCCGTCCATCCGTCCATCGCCCTAGCCTCACCGAGGGCTGTGCTGGGGCCACCCCATCTGCAGGGGCCACAGGAGAGGCTCTCTGGGCAGCTTCCTGCTCCGTCTTCTCCTGCAGCCGCCGGATGGTCTGGGGAGCAGGGAGAGGTCAGGGCTCCGGTCACCGGGCGATCCTGGCCCCCAGCCCATGCCAGCCTAACCCCACCTACCGTGTCCACCCAGAAAAGGAGCTTATGCTCCAAGCTGGCCAGGGCCAAAGGACCGGGCAGTGTCTTTGTCCACTCGAAGGCGAAGGCAACCATGAGGGCGTCAATGACAGCTAGGTGGGCTCCCTGTGGAGGTAAGGGCTGAAGGGTGAGACCAGGGCGAGGGATGGGGGCTCCGCTCGCCTCTGAGGGAGAAGAGGAGGAAGCGCCTCAAGGTTGGGCGGGTGGGGGCGGGGCCTGAAGTAGGAGGGGCTTTGGGGATGGGCCTGGGTTCGTGGGTGGGGCTTCCGGGAAGGAGCAGGATAGGGATCCTGGAAGAACCACCCCTGGTGGGCCGTAAAGCATGGCCTCAAGGGCCAGAGTGGCGCCTCTGGGGAGGAGCCAGGCCTGGTGGGCGGAGCCTTTAGGGAGGAGCAGGGCGGGGCTGGTGGGCGGGGCCTACCATGAGGATGGGCTGGTGCCTCAGGTCGGCCTCCTGCACGGGGCGCTCGGGCAGCGCGGGCACTGTGCCCCTCCGCGCCAGCAGGGCCAGCAGCGCCGAGGGGTTGGGGGGGGTCTCGAGCTGCGGCAGCGCCTGGCGCCAGGCCCGGCAGTAGAGCTCGGCCGAGAGCAGCAGCCGCGTCACCGGGGGCTTCACGTGCTCCTGCGCGTACTGGTCGGTGTAGAAGGGCTCCCACAGCTCCGAGGGCACATGCTCTGTGGGGCGAGGCGGGGGACGGCGGGTCAGGGCCCGGGCGCCCGCAGGGAGGACGGCACCGGGACGGGCGGGAGCGCGCCGGAGGGAGGGGCTCCAGGCGGTGCGAGAGCACAGCGCTGCAGGGGGACGGCAGCTCTGGGACCCGAGGGGAGGCGGCCGCCTGCGCAGGGGCTTGTTGGGAGGTGGGTGGGCTTGGAGGCCCGCAAAGAACAATCACAATGACAAGATGGCTTAATCGATCTCCCTGGGGGGGCCCACCAGCCTGGGAAACAACAGCCGGGGCACAACAGGTAACTCCAGAAACCTGCCCAAGGCCACACAGCTGGGCAACGCTGGCCCTGGGATTCAGACCCAGGCCTTCAGCAGACTCTACACCCTGGGATTCAGACCCAGGCCTTCAGCAGACTCTACACCCTGTCTCAGCTTGGAGACTGGGGTGGGGTGGGCTGTGGAGTGCAGGGCTGGCTGGCAGGGCACCGAATGGGGTGGTCAGACTGCAGACATGCTGGGGGGGGGGTGAGGGGTCTGTACCTGGTGACTGAAGGGTGGAGGCAGGGGAGGGAGAGGGAGGTGCCCAGGCCCCATCAGGTGTGACTGGAAAGATGGGGGCGGGAGGGGAAAGGGTTAGGGATACAGGAGGGGCAGCAGGTGAGGCAGCAGAGGCTGAATGTGAGGGGCTGGGCCTTAGGAGAGAGGTGAGGTCACCTTGCAGAGGCGGCCACAAGACCCCTGAAAAGGCTGAATGAGACAGGCAGGGTAGGAAGAGGCTGGAGGAAGCCCCATGTGGAGGGAGGGGTGGGTGGTGGAGCCCCAAGCAGGACCCAAGGGTGGGGAGGAGAAAGACCAGAAAAAGGCACCAGGAAGATTCTCTGGGGAGGTCTAGGAGGTGGTGACTGAAGCCAGCATGGGGAACCAGCCCTCGTGGCGGGGGGGGGGGGGGAGGTCTTCCAGGGAGGCCCCAACTCTAAATTCCAATCTGAACAGTTGTTTTGTCTTTTGGGGTTGTGTGTCTGAAAGAATGGGGGGCAGGATTCTACTGCTTAAAAACATTTGCACATGACACCTCAGACCCTCCTCAGGTGCCTGTCTTCACAGCCATGCTCCCCAGAGACCCCCTGCCCTCACCTACAAGGACTCAGGCATCCTTCCCTTCGGTGCCTCCCTACCCCAGCTCTTTCCCCATCCCCTAAAATCACACTTGACCTCCCCACTTAATGCTCCACTCCTGTGGAGAGCTGTGCCTGCTCTCTGCCCCTCTCAGCGCAGCTTCTTGAAAGAACAGAGTTCTCCAGGCTCTGCTTCCTTCCACCGGACCCCCACCCCAACCTCCCTGAGACTCCTGCCCTCCCAGCTCCCAGCCTGCCCAAGGCCAGCAGCGGCCCTCCAACGCACAGTTGTGGGCCGTATCTTGCCTGGGCGTCCTGCCCAGCACCTCCTTGTTCCGGAAACCTTCCTCCCCCAGCATCTCCCAGCTTCCCATCTTTTTCTCTGTCCCACCACTCCAGCCAGGCCTCCTCCCCACATGCCCTGTCAATGCCAGGTTCAGAAGAGCCCTGTAAATGGATATGTTACTCCACCCCCCACCCCCACCCCAGTGATGGCTTCCCTGGCCATCAGAGCACTGCCACCTGCTGCAGCCCAGGCCTTGTGTCCCACTGCCCTCTGGGCATCTCCATGATGCTCAGTACCTTGCTCCAAACCTGCTCCTTCTCTCTGAAATTGCAATAAGAAATCACCATCCCCCCACCCCCACCACCACCCAACACCTAATGTCCTCAGGTTTCAACCTCCTGGCATCTCCCCAACCCAAACCCTGCTCCTTATCTCCCCAGCTCCTGCTCATTTCCTGCTCCCATTAGCAAAATTAAACAAGTTTCTTTCTGGGGCACCTGGGTGGCTCAGTTGGTTAAGCGTCTGCCTTCGGCTCGGGTCATGATCCTGGGGTCCTGGCATCAAGCCCCGTGTCTCTCTCTCTCCTGCCCCTCCCAACTGCTCATTCTCTTTCTCTCTCTCAAATAAATAAATAAAATATTAGAAAGAAAGAAAGAAAGAAAGAAAGAAAGAAAGAAAGAAAGAAAGAAAGAAAGAAAGAAAGGAAGAAAGGAAGAAAGAAAGAAAGAAAGAAAGTTTCTTTCCTGCAGGACTTGTCAGGGCCTTCAAGATGAAAACCGTGAGCTAGGGCTACCAACAGCTAATGTTGATCAAGCACTTCCTCTGCACCTGTGTGTGTGCCCACACCTCAGCACTATTGGCATTTGGGGCTGGATAAGTCGCTGTGTTTGGCAGGGGGCGGGGTAGGCTGGTCGGCGCTTTGTAAGCCGATCACCAGAGTCCCTGGTTTCTGCTCACTAAATGCCAGGAGCACCCTCCTCCTAAGTAGTGACAACCAAAAATGTCCCCGGACACTCTCAAAGGTCTCCTAAGAGGCAGAACCACCCCCCCGTTAGTAGAAAGCCATTGTTCTCTACTCAAAACGTTTATTAGGCACTTACCATAGGGTAGTGCTGTCTGAGAGAAAGGCAGTTTGGCCTCCATATGTAGTTTTACACTTTGTAGCTACCCCATTAAAAACATAGAAACGAGTAACCTTAGTAGTATGTTTAACCCAAAACATACCTGATCCTATCATTTCAACATGTAATTAATATAAAAACATCAGGGCGCCTGGGTGGCTCAGATGGTTAAGCGTCTGCCTTCGGCTCAGGTCATGATCCCAGGGTCCTGGGATCGAGTCCCTCCTCGGGGGGGAAGCCTGCTTCTCCCTCTCCCCCTCCCGCTGCTTGTGTTCCTGCTCTCGCTATCTCTGTCTCTGTCAAATAAATAAATAAAATCTTAAAAAATATATATATAAAAACATCATGAGATATTTCACCTTTTTTTTTTTTAATTCATTTGAGACACAGAGATACAGAGAGAGAGAGAGAGAGAGAGAGAGACGGAGAGAGCATGAGCAGGGAGAGAGGCAGAGGGAGAGGGAGAAGCAGGCTCCCCGCTGAGCAGGAAGCCCGATGCGGGGCCGATCACAGGACGCTGGGATCATGACCTGAGCCGAAGGCAGACGCTTAACCATCTGAGCCACCCAGGCGCCCCGAGATATTTCACCTTTTTATATGAAGTCTTCAGAAGCCACGGTGCGGTTCATTTACGCTTACAGTGCATCGTGACTTAGACCAGCCCCAGGTAGCTGTGGCCGCGTCCTGGGACCGCACAGTTCTAAGCGTAGCTAGCATTTACTCAGACTGAAGCCACCTTGCATGCGTTTGCTCGTGGAATCCTTAGGACAACTTATTCTTAGCCCCACTGTACAGATGAGAAAACCAAGGCCCAGAGAGCTAACTCACCCAAGATCACACAGCTAATAAACGGCCCAGCTGACGTGAACCCAGTTTCCCTGTAGGTCACCCTGATGCTCCGGCATAAGGGACTTCGTATGGTGTTTCCCAAACTTGCACAGAGATGGCACCCTCTTATCTCTGAGCTAGAGTCCTGTGGAGCCCACTGGCCTGCATTCCTGCCCAGCCTCCTCCCACCTGCGCCTCAGGGCCACCAGAACTACCTGCTCCCTGGGCAACTGTATATCTGATCTCATTTTGTCAAGTCCTCTAACATGTTCCATAGCTCCCCAGTGCTTTCAGATCCACCCACCCACCCACCCACCCACACACCCCTTGAGAGGCCCTTCTCAGTCCCACTAGCCTCTCTCATCTCCCACCTCCCCCGGCCACCACCCCACCACCGGGACCTGCACGGTCTCCTCTGAGAACTCCCTGTTGGTCCAAACCCCAGGCCTTTTCACATGAGGTCTCCTCCCCCTGGCCAACTTGATGCATCCTTCAAGGTTCAAACCCTCCCTCCTCTGGAGAGACTTTCCTTCTCCTTCCCTCCCTGGCAGAGTTCAGGGATTTCCTCCCCCGGCCCCGCGGCAGGCCTCTACAACACAGACCTTATCACTCTAAGCAGCAATGATCTGGTTCCATGGCCCATCCCCCTCTCTGCCACCTCCACCCCCACCCCCTCTGTCCAGAGCACCCAGCACCAGCCTGGCACCCAATGTGCATCGCTAGAAAGTCCCAGAGTTCATGAATCAGGCAGAGCTCTGTTCCCTACTTCCCTCTCTGGGCCTGGCGCCCCACCTTCCTCAGTCCCGGCTGTCCGAGAAGGAGAGTGGGACTGAGGATTGAACATGACCCTCGGGGAGGATACCACACAGTGCAGGGAGCTGGGTCAGTGAGAACAGAACTGGGGGAGTCAGGGCATCATCCTCAGGAGACCTCACTTTCCCTTCTGTGAAATGGGACAGTAATTTCTGCTCCATGATGATATTAATATTAATAAAAATACCACTACTGATCACAGCAGGAGTGATGGTGAGCAGACGTTTAGAACGTACAGTAATGCCAGATACGGCGTGAAGAAATCTGAGGTCTGCCGCCAGCAACCTTGTGAAGAGGGTACTGGGGTCCCCATCACCCAAGCACTGCCCTGGCACATAGTGAGTGCCCCCCTCCCGAGACATTTGCAAAATGGATAAGTGAATAAATGTTCTCTTTTCCAGAGGGGGAAACAGCAGCTTTAGAGAATTGGGATAATTCATCCATAACCTGGTGGAGCTGGGACTCAAACCCAGTTCTGATTCCCAAAGTCGAGCCTTGAAGGGCCACATAACCTGGGACGGGAGAGGCTGGGGCAGACCTGGGTCTCTCCCCGCCAGCCTCCTTTCTTCCTCCAGCAGGTCCTCAGGGAAAGGCAGGCCCACAGTGTGCCGTGCATGGGAGGGTGCTGGGAGAAAGACACAGGCTTGGGCGGACCCAGGAGATGGGCAGCGGTCCCCGAGCCCCACACCCAGAACAGGTTGATCTGGGAAGGCCACTGAAGGGGGGATGGGCTGTGCCAAGACCAGTGGGCAGACCGGTGGGAGAGCAAGGCGTCCCAGCAGGACACCCCGGAAGGCCCAGACCTTAATTAACCCCAGCTGCCCCAGAACAGGCCCTGGCTCCCAGCTCTGGCCTGAGCGCCGGGGCTGCCCTAGGGCCCTGACTTGGCCCACTCAGGCCCTCGAATCCTGGGGACCCACCCGCATCCTTCCCCTTGGGGTGGCCTGACTTCCGCACACATGTGGGCCTAGGGAGGAGTGGAGGCTCTGTCCCGGTGGGAGAAGGTCCTACACCTGGGCCCCCACCCCCGCCGATCTCGGACAGGCCAATTCCGTTCTCCAGGGCTCGCCCGCCTCCTAGGCAAAATGGGGTAATAAGTCACAGCTGCCAGCCGCTGGCCGCGGCCATGGAGGCGAAAGAAGGGACTCCCGGAGCTGCCCTCACCGCCCGCAGCGCAGGGAGGGCTGACGCGGGGTGTGGGTCCCCGCTGCGGGGCGGTGGGGGGGGGGGTCCTCGCGGGGGCGTGATGTGAATGTGTAAGGGGGGGAGGGCGTGCAAGGCCGGCCCGGGAGACCCCGCCCCGCACACCTGGGCTCCCGGACGCCGGGGTCCCGGCGCGGATCTGGGCCCGCCGGCCCCACCCCCACCGCGCTCCCGCAGCCGGGCGAGCAAAGTCCACCGCCCGGGCCGAGCAGGAAGCCCGGAGGCCCCGCGCGGCGGGGCCCGAGCCCGAGCCCGAGCCCGGGGCCCCCCGGCGGCCGGCGCTATTGTTCCCACGGCCCCGGCCTCCGCGGCCCGGCGCCCCGCCCCCCGCACCTGCCGCCCCCGGCCCGGTACCTGCGCCCCCGAACGCGGCCCGCAGCACCCACGCCAGGCTGGCCGCCGCCTTGGCCCGCGAGAAATCGTACTGGTCCAGCGACTTGATCTCGGGCACCAGGAAGGTCCTCCGCAGCGGCCCGGGCCCGGGGGGCGCCGCCTCCACCATGGCGGCGCCGGGGCTGCGGGCGCCGGCTCCGCGCTCGCTCCAGCTGGGCAGCGCCGCGCTCGCACCCGGACCGGGCCCGCCGCCGCCGCCTCCGAGCCAGGTGCGGCCGCTCGCGCTCGCGACGCAGCGTCGGCCCCGCCCCGGGGCGGAGCCCAGGTGCGCCCCGCCCCCGGCCCAGACCCCGACCCGGTCCCCCGCCCGCCCTGGCCTCGCCTGGCCGCCCGCCGCGGGGTGGGGCGGGCCCGGACTGCGGTGGTGGCGGGAGGCTGCGGAGGAGTGCGTGTGCGCGCGCGCGCTGGGGAGGGTGAGGGACCCTCCGTTTGCGGATGTGTGTGCTGGCCCAAGTGTGTACCCTTAGGTGTGAGCGTGAGCATCCGTGCGGGCTTGTCATTCCTGGCCAAGAGGCAGCGTGTGCGTGGGGGCACCTGTGTCCGATTGCGTATTGTGAGCGTACAAGAGTGTGTGTGTTCTTATCAGCGTGTGCGTCCCTAATGTAGTCGGGTGGTGAGTGTATTTGAGGGTGTCTGCGTGTGCGTATCTGGGTGGGAGTGCGACAGCACGTGTGTGTGTCCGTGCTTTTCATGTGTGTTGTGTGTACAAGGATCTGTATTGTGTACGTGTCTGTGTCCGGAGGATATAGGCGTGGTGAGTGTGTATTTGTGTTTTGCCAGTGGATCTGCGAGTGTGCATATTTGTGAGCATCTAGATGTATTTGTGTTTTGTATAAGGGTGTGAAAAAGTGGCAATGAAGGAGCCTAGGAGAGGAATTGAGGGCATGTGTATTTACCCAAGAGTGTGACTACTTGTATCTATCAGTGTGGTTGAATGGGTATGAATGGATACACTTGCGAACCTCTGAGCCCCTTTTGTGGATATTTAAATATTTGCTTGTGTATTCCATTGTGGTTTTGTGTCAAAACATCTGCAGTGTGCCTCTTAGCTGTAAGGAATTGTGAATGCACAAATGTTTGTGTTAAGTCTTTGCGGGCCTGTGTGTCTAAGTGTGTACAGCCGGGTGTAACTGCGTGTGTATAACAAGTGTACGTATGTGTTTGGGTTTGTCTGTTATCTCTTCTTGACCTGTGTGACTTTCTGAGTTTATGTGGGTGAAGCTGCTGTTTACATCAGTGTGAATTTGGGGATATTTGCATGGATCTGTGTGTGAGCATGAGTGTGACAAGATGCACATATGGATCTGTTTCCTGAATGTACATTGAGTATCTGAACTTGCCTCTTTATGTGTGAGTGTATTTGTGGGTGTGCCTGATTGTGAATCTATGACTGTAGTGTGTGTGTGGGGGGGGTTATGTGTGTGTAAGTAGTGTTTTGAATGGCTCTGTGGGTGTGTACGGTTATTTGTCTGTACCTAGATCACATTTGTGTGTCAGATCTAAGTGAGACTAGGTGGGTGAATTCCGTGTAAGGGGGTATAGTGTGAGTTTCTGCCTTTACAACTACAGAGGGAGTTTCATTCAAAACGCACGCACGCACGCACACAGAACAATCAGTGTTTTCTCAACTATATAAAATTCTATGAGATGAGAAAGCACTACAGCAAGTCTACGTGAGACAGCCCCCCTCCACATAGTGGTCCCTGAGCCCACACTTGGTAGAAATTCCCAGGTCCCCTTAACATCCGTTCCACAGGTGTGTTTGAGGCGTGGGTCTCATGGTCCAGAGCGTGTGACTGGAGCGGGGGTGGGTGTGCCCGAGGGAGGGGAGCTGGGGCATCGGCCCTCCTGCCTGGATGTGCCTGTGCAGGAGGTGGGTGTGGGCACACAAAGGGGCCGGTGTGTATGTGTTTGAACACACAGGTTGACGTGTGCGATGCACGTGCCTTGACTCCTGTCCCAATCCCCCCGAAAGACCTAATGCGTCTTTCCCCACTGGGCCTTGGTTTCCCCATCCATGGCACTGCTGGGGCTCCTGGCCGGGGGAGGGGCCCTGGCCGAGAAGGGCGTGCTATTATGGGCTGCCACTCCTGCGAGCGTGGCATGTCCTGCTGGCTCACGCTCGTGTTTGCCTTTCTGGGAAGGTTCTCATGACCTCTGTGGACCCCAGGGACGAACCCGAACTAGCACAAACTCCTGGGGGGGATGCGCTGTAAACACACAGTCAGAGGCTTCCGGCCCCCGGGAGGGGCCCCGCAGGCCCTCACCTGTCCTGGGCTGGAGGGCCTGGGGGCGTCCACTGGTGTTGGTGCGGGAGCTGGGCACAGTTGCCCTTGCCTCCGGCCCAGCCCCCACACTGGGCCAACTGGAACTCCGGGCTGGGCCAGACCTCCCCACCCACACACAGCCGGCTGGAACCGAGGTCCCACCTGCCCCTGAGGGCCTGTTCCTGGGGCCCAGGCAGCTCCAGACACACTGGCTCCCCTGTGTGCAGGAGGTGGCCTACAGCCCCCCTCCGGCCCTCCCCAAGTCCTCACCTGCCACCTCCTCCCTCACCTGGGGCTGCCTTTGGTTCTCACACCTCCTAACTCATCAGACAAGCTCTGGTTATGAAGTTGGGGGTGGGGATGACTTAGAGGGCTCATAGGTCGGGATTGAGGACGAGGTTTCGGGGAAGCGTGTGAAGCCCCCAAAAATCATCTGCAAAATTCTGCATGCGTGTGCCCTTTGGAGATCATACCAACAGGTAACAACTTTTGAGAGTCTTATGCCCAGCACAGTCTCATTTAACCTCACACTATCTCGAGCATAATGAGTATCATACCTACTTTACAGACAGAAACACTGAGGCCGAGAGCCCCAAAGTGACATGGCAAGGAGAATGAAAGGAGGCTTTGAGCCCACTGATCCACTATGCTGCCCTTCCATTCTGAGGCTAGCCTACCTTCTCCAACCATTCATGACCCTCAGATGGGGTTGGATGAGGCCAGTAATTGTGGGGACCTCAGAGCAGAGGATGGTTGGGATTCCCTCTCTGTACCTCTTGCCCACACTAAACTGTAGTGATGGGGATTCAAGCATGGCCCCTGTTTTTGTTCTCCCCACCCACACAGTGTCTCATGGTAGCCTCCCGGAAGTTTGGCCTCAGTAGAAGGAGATTATTATCAGGACCCCGCCCCCCACCACCACCACATCCAGGGATCTCAGGGAGACATTTCTGAAATATCAAAAAAAAAAAAAAAAAAAAAACCACAGGGACACCTGGGTGGCTCATCCGGTTGGTTGAGCATCTGCCTTCGGCTCAGGTCATGATCTCAGGGTCCTGGGATCGAGTCCCGTGTAGGGCTTCTTGCTCAGTGGGGAGCCTGCTTCTCTGTCTTCCTCTGCCCCTCCCCCTGCTTATGCCCTCTCTCAAATAAATATTTTTTTAAAAACCCACAATATTGTGCATGCCAAGGTCTATCCCTGTCCTCGTGACACTTACATTTCTTTTCATTTTTTTTAAGATTTTATTTTTAAGTAATCCCTACACCCAACACGGGGCTCGAACCCACAAGCTTGAGATCAAGAGTCGCACGCTCCATCAGCTGAGCCAACCGGGTGCTCTGGTGCTTACATTTAGAAGCAATTGTTAATATGTCAAACAGATTATTTCAGCAGGGGACAAAATATTGGGACTATAAGAAAACAAAGCAAGAGTGCTGGAGACAGCTGGGGTGGGGGCTGTGTCAGCCTGGGAGGAGGAGGCTTCTCTGAGGAGGGGAGATAGGGGAAGACAGGAAGGATGAAAAGGAAGAGCTGAAGGAAAAACATTCCAGGAGGAGAGCACTGTAAGGGCCCTGGGGCAGGTGCAAGCCTGGTGTGCTCAGACCAAGGTCGCTGCAGCTGATAGTGCAGAAGAAGCTGCTGGAAGATCTGTGCAGTGCTTCTCAAATTCTCTCCACTGAAGAACCACTTTCCCCCCCCAATCCATAAAATGCAATAAAAATTAATTTCTAGGAAAATAAAATTGAAAAAGACATGCATGGTGCCAGAAAGCAAGGAACAGCAGGCAATGATGGGGTGTGTCAAAGGCCATGGGAGCCCACTGAAAGAGCCCCCTGGGGCCAAAGCTAGAGCGAGTCGAGAAACTAAACTAATGTCGTGTTGTGTTATAACCCCAAGAATAAAGTCAATATCCATGAGTTCGTCCTGATACAAACAAATGATCAAATGCATTAATGGTTGAAGGACAAGAGACAAACTTGATGTGCAGAAGAATTCCAAATCATTTATGTAGATACTGCATCTTCCAAAAGAGGTGGAGCTGCACAGTGTGACTTCCTTCCAAGAAGTACAGTGTGGAAAGAGGGGGACAAAAAGGAACTTTACAGTGCAGAAACCTGACGTACACATAATGTCACCCAGCTGCGGGATCAAGGCCACCATCCGCAGTCATAATTAGGTGGATAGTATGTACTCCCACGATATATTGTGAGGAGGATGGCACCTTGTGTCTGCGATCTTCCTTCCCCAAACCCGTAACCCTAGCCTAACCATGAGGGAGACACCGGGAAAATTCCAACAGAGAGCCACCCTCTGGGATCCCTGACCAATGCTCCTCAAAACTGTCAAGGTCATCAAAGACAAGGAAAGCTCAAGAAACCACCCCAGCCAAGAAGTGCCTAAGACGACGTGACAGCTAAATGTCATGTGGGATCCTGGACCACAAAAAGGACATTAGGGTAAAGCTGGAGAAATCTGAATAAAGCGTGTGCTTTTGTTAATACTAATGTGTCAAAATTGGTTCATTAACTGTAACAAATGTCCCATACTAGTGTAAGATGTTACTAATAGGGGAAACTCTGTGTGTGTGTGTGTGTGTTGGGGGAGGGAGTATATAGAAACTGTACTCGTTGCTCAATTTTTCTGTAAATTCAAAATTGTTCTAAAAATTGATTTAAAAAAGAATTTAAAAGACACGCAAAACGGGAGCCCAAAAGTCGTAAAATTACTATGTCAAATTACTATAAAGTTTCTCTACACTTCCTGTTTTCTATACTCTCTCATCTGGACAGGTGATCAGTGGGTCAAGACGGCGCTGGTTTGTGGAGGGCTTTAAGCAGCTCTAGATAAGGGTTCTTCACCCTCAGCTCTATTGACATTTGGGGACAGATCATTCTTGTGGGAGGGGCTGTACTGTGCATTGTTGGGTGTTTAGCAGCATCCCTGACCTCTACACACTAGATGCCTGTAACACTCCCCCTCCAATTGTGACAACCAACAACATCTCTGGACATTACACAATGTCCCCCAGCAGGCCAAATCGCTTTCCCATCAAAAACCACGCACATAGGCAGGCAACAAAGTCAGATCCAGAAATGCGGGCCAGAAAGCCCATGCATGTTTGTGAGTTTCAGGGCCATGTTGAGGAGCCTGGTATTTCCAAAACAACCCTACTGGTGTAAAGGGATTTGTGGAAGCTTCACTCAGAAGTCCAATCCCAGGGTGTGGCTTTGGGGCTGGAGAGAACAGAAAGATTCCGAATGTGTTTGGGAGAGAGAATTGACAGGACTCGCTGATCATGGGGGCAGGAGGCAAAGAGAGGAAGGGAGGAGTTTTGGAAGATGCGCAGATTGCTGATACCTTTCGCAACCAGGCAGATGGTGGTGTCATGTGCTGAGATGGGAACGTGAGATGAGAAGCCAGGTTGGGTGAGGGAGGGGAGGGTGATGAGTTTCATCTCGGACAGGTCGAGTTTCAGGTCCCGTAGGGCCATGATGGAGAGTCGAAGTTCACGATCTTGTACACATCGTAGATGAGTGATGCCCCAGGTGCCCATTCAAATGTACAGCATTCCCAGAGGGGCAATGTCAGAATAACCAGAGCCCCCTTCTCTCTCCACTTCTCCCTCCACCCCCACCCCCTATAATCATGTAGGTGCTCTTCTGATATTGCCCCTCCGGGAATATTGTCCTTTCAATGCACGCATGAGGTATCACTCATCATGATGTGTTCCAGATCGTGAACTTCTGCTCTCCTTCATAGCCCCTTGTCTCTCTCACACAAAAGGACAATGGGACTTGGGAGCCTCCAAGACATCCTTCAGTAAGGTGAATGGATACATAAACTGTGGTCCTATTCAGACACTGGAATATCATAAAGCTCTTAAAAAGAATGAACTTTCAAACCACAAAAAGACATGGAAGAACCTTAAATGCTTATTACTAAGGGAAGGAAGCTGATCCGAGAAGGCTACAGACAGTATGATCCCAGCTCTAGGACCTTCTGGAAAAGGTGAAACCGTGGAGACAATAAAAGGATCGGCAATTGCCAGGGTTTTGTGGGGGCGGGAGGGATGAATAGGTGGAGCACAGAGGAGTTTCAGGGCAGTGAAAATACTCGGTATGAGACTATAATTATTACGTCACTACACATTTGTCAAAACCCACAGAATGTACGACACCAAGACTGAGCCCTGATATAAACTATGGACTCTGAGTGATGATGATGTGTCCATGCGGGTTCATCAATTGTAACAAATGTCTCCCTCTGGGGTGATGTTGCTAAGTGGGGGAGGCTGTGATTTTGTGATGGCAGGGGGTATATGGGAACTCTATATTTTCTGCTCAATTTTGCCACAAACCTAAAACTTTTTTTTTAAATAGTCTATAATAAACACAAACACGCACAATGGGACACATGAATAATACTAAAATATCCACAAACACATACTTGGAAACTTACAAATATACTGAATGATACCCACACAATTGCACTCATGAACACAAGTATTTGTACACACACACACACACGCGCGCGCACACACATTCACGCACATAGTCCATACTGATGCAGGTCAAGGGAGAGAGATTATCTCAAGTATGCCTTCCGTCCTTTGCATTGTCCTTGATGAGAAGAAATTTTCTGTCCACTTCATCTCTTTTTTCCCTCCCTCTGGTAGGACAAGGTCTTTGGACAAACAGATGTGAGGCAGTGACTTTGCAGATATAAAACCTGAAGACCAATGTGATTGTAGGGGATGGAGGGGGAAGAGAGAAGTGGAGAGAGGAGGGGCCTCTGACTGCTCTCCTGACATTGGTGAAACCTGTGGGGACTCAACACAGATGAAGGTTCCGTATCACCTCTAAGGTCATTGCTGTGCCCACTGGCCCTTGCCAACCCTGAGGGCACAGCTAAAGGACATGCTGGAAAAGGCAGATCACATATAAACTCTGGGTCCTGTGATGCTGCGGTCTGCCAAGACCCCATGTCTAAGGAGCCCCTCCAGAGTCATGGCCAGAACCTGGGGTGCCCATAAGAAAGTCGGAAACTGAAGCCCCATGGAGAACAAGACACAGGCTGACAATGGAGCCTGGAGAAGAAGACCAGAGGGCAAGGGTTTCTAGAGGGTGGGAGTGCTCCCCAGTGTTCGGGGCTGGTCTGGAGGGTCTGGGAGATAAGGACTGAGCACTCACAGTAGACACAGGAACATAGTGTTCAATAGTGACCTTGAGGAAAGCAGTTTCAAGGGTGCGTGTGAGAGGTACAAGGGAGGAGTCAAAGAAGGGAGGTGAGAGGGAGTGGAAACTTCACCTAAAATCTCCCCTCTGAAACCTCTCTGCATCTCCAACCACCCTCCACAACTTCCTCTGCTGTTCTCTGAAACTTCTTCCCCACTATCCCATCCTTCCACCTCTTGGAGTCCTCCCTTTTTGCTCCTTTCCACATCTTCTCTCTCCCTCAAACTCAATCCTTGCTGTGGAATTGTAGGATATTGGAGATGAAAGGAACCATAAATATGGGCTAGTCCAAACCTTCCCCAAAGCTAAAACAAGCCCCCTCTACAGCATCTCTGTCTCCTCTTGTACAGCCTGTCTTTGATTCTTTCCATGAGAAGGGAGCTCACTGTCCCTTCCAGCTCTCCCGGCCCCAGATCTATTCTTTTAGCAGAATCATATATGCATGCAGTAGGTACTCAGTTCATGCTTGTGGAGTCTGCTTCATAGACTCCCCACCTCATTTCTCAATTTTCCTATCAAATTACGTATCCTAGACATGAAGATAATTGCCAAGGTGTGGAGTAGCTTGTAGATTACAGGTTTTCATTTCAAATACATGAATTAGTAGAGCATCTACTATGTGCTAGGAGCTGGGGATTCAACCCGGATAGACAGACACAGTCTCTGTTCTCATGGAACTTATATTCTAGTAGGAACATGGACACTGAACAGCTAAAGATGCAATTATTTAATTACAGTTGTGATTAGGAGGAATTGTAGGCAGGCAGGAATTGTAGGCAGGCAGACCATGCAATAAGCTGGTCTTAATGAATGTTCAATACTCTTGTTATATTTGTATAAATAAAACTGGTTGCACAAAATCACTAAGGATGTAATATGAATGAATCTGTTCCTTAGGGGCAGAAACTTTCCACAAGGAGCTAGTGTGTATGGCAGATTGTTGAAGTAATAGCTCCCAATTTATTCACATCTGCCGGTCTCCACCCTCCTGGGGGATCCCCTCCCACACCGAGTCAGGGTTTAGCCCTGTGACTTGTTTTGGCCAATGAGACAATAGGAAATGTGACAGAAGCAGAGGCTTGAGAAGCACTTGCACAGTGGAATAAAAGCGAGATCACTACAGGTCCTTCAGACATTAAAAGGATAATGAGGGAATTTTGTGAACAACTTTATGTCAATAAATCTGAGAACTTACATGGCATAGACAAATCCCTTGAAATGCAAAACTACAAAAGCTTACTTAAGAAAAAATGGACGACCTAAATAGTCCTCTATTTAGAAATGGAATTTGTGACTTAAAACCTTCCCACAAAGAAAACGTCATGCCCAGATGGCTTCATTGGTGAATCCTACAAAATATAAGAAAGAAATAATACTGATTCTACACAAATTCTTCCAGAAAATAGGAGGGTGCACTTCCCAATTCATTCTATAAGGGTTGTATTATCCTGATATCATAACCAGATAAGGACATTACAAGAAAAAAAACCCCACAGACCAATATCTTTTTTTTTTTTATTTGAGAGAAAGAGAGAGAGAGAGAACTAGCGGGGGAGGAGCAGAGGGACAAGCAGACTCCCTGCTGAGCAGGGAGCCTGACGCGGGACTCGATCCCAGGACACTGAGATCATGACCTGAGCCGAAGGCAGACACTTAATCAACTGAGCCACCCAGGCGCCCCGCCCCCCCACAGACTAATATCGTTCATGAATATGGACACAAACAATCCTTAACAAAATATTAGCAAATAGAGTCCAGCAATGTATAAAAAGGGAAATACATCATGATCACGTGGTGGTTTATCTGAGGAATGCAAGGTTGATTCAACATTTGAAAATCAATTAATCTAATTTGCCATACCAAGAGATTAGAAAAGAAGAATCAGATGAGAATCATCATCTTAACCGATGTAGAAAACTCATTTGACAAAAATCGACACAGATTCATGATACTGAAAAAAACCTTTCAGCAAACTAGGAATAAAAGATTTCCTCTATGTACTAAAAAACATCTGTGAAAACTTACAGCTAAAACAACATACTTAATAGGGAATGCTGGGAGGTTTTACCCCAAGATTGGGGATAAGGCAAAGGTGTCTGCTCTCACTGCCTCTATTCAGCATTGCGTTGGAAGTCATGGCCATGTAATAAGGCAAGAAAAGAAATTTAAAAAGCACAAATTGGAAAGAAAAGTTAAATATGATAGTCTACATGATTGAAAAGAAGGAAAACAGGTAAAATACAATCATCTACATAGAAAATCATAAGGAATTGACAAGAAGGGGCGCCTGGGTGGCTCAGTTGGTTAAGCGACTGCCTTCGGCTCAGGTCATGATCCTGGAGTCCCGGGATCAAGTCCCGCATCGGGCTCCCTGCTCGGCAGGGAGTCTGCTTCTCCCTCTGACCTTCCCCCCTCTCATGTGCTCTCTCTCTCTCTGTCATTCTCTCTCTCAAATAAATAAATAAAATCTTTAAAAAAAAAAAAGAATTGACAAGAAGGCTACTAGACCTATTGTGAGTTTAGCAAAGTTGTAGGATACAAGATCTATATATAATTCTGTCTCTACATATTAACAATAGACAATTGGAAATGGAATTGTGAAAAATCAATACTATTTTCAATATCATCAAAAACATGAAGTACTTAGAGATAAATTTAACAAGATATATGTAAGACCTGTACATGGGAAACCATAAAGCACTGTTCAGAGAAATCAAAGAAAGCCAAAATAAAC